CATACAGATAATCACATATATTATTAATTTAGTTAATTAATATTTTTAATTAGATTTCTTTTTAATATTCTTTTATACTTTTATTCATTTTTTTTCTTAATATATTTATATTATTATTTATTAATTATTGAATTATAATTAATTATTTTTCAGAGATATAAATTAATTAATTAATTTTATTAAATTATATGTATTTTAAAATAAAAATTATTATTAATTTATTCACTATTTGTATTTATTTTTTTTTACTAAATAAATATTATCTGTTTTGTAATTATTCTTCAGATTTGAATATCATTCAAATAATAAAATCATAAGTTTATAAATTAAACCTATTTATATTATATTTTATCTTATTTATAATTATTAACAAAATAATCTTATAATTATCATATATTTTTTAATTATTTAGATAATTAATATTTTTAATTAATTTATTATTAATTATTTTTTATATTTTTTATTTATTTTTTTTATTATTATTTATATTATTATAAATAATTAGTTCTCTAAAAATATGATATAAGATTATTAATTTATTTATATTTCATATTTATTTTATTTTATATAAATATATCATTCTATTTTATAAAATAATTCTTAAATCTAAATATTATTCAAATTATAAAATTATAAGTATTTATAAATTATAACTATTTACTTCACATTTTATCTCATTTATAATTATAAATAAATAATCTTATATTATATATTAAATTAATATTATATATATTATTTTATAGTGATTATTATATATTTTATAATTATTAATTTAGATAATTATTACTTTTAATTAATATTTAATATAATTTTAAAAAGAAAATTTTTTTAATTAAAATTTTATTAAATATTTAATAATATAATTATTATATTAATCTATAATAGATCACTATATATAATTTATAAATTTTTTTAATTTTGAAAAATATTTAAATAATTTTTTATTTAAATTATATATTATATAAATAATATTATTTAAAATTTATATTAAATAATATTTATCTAAAAATTATTAAAATTAATATTTTATATAATTCTTAATATTAATAATAATTATAATTCACTGTAATATTCTAGTAATTAACTTGTACATAATATTCAAAATAATAATAATATTTTTCAATAAGATGATAAATAAGCATTACATAATTACAGTTAATAAATTTTGAATTATGACTAGTTGTGACTTAGTAAAAGATCAAATATCACATAGTTGCAGCCAATTAGAAATTGTAATATTTATCACTGATTCAAAGACACTTTGATAGCATAAATGGTCTTACATATGCTAATCAGATTTAAATTGGAACTTTGGGCAATTCATTTCAAACCTGAAATATTATGAGCTTGCATTTACCAATTAGTATAATGCAAAATATGATATGAAGCATCATCTTGCTAAAAGAGTATATAGGAGTTATTATTCATCCAAGAAATTAAATTTTTTGCCAAAATGTTAATATAACTATCAGAATCAAGATTATTATTTAACCTTTACCAAAGGTCCAACTCCATTCCATCCAAATACATTTTCAAAACATAACTAATAATTCACCATATTTTACTGTTGGAAACACACAACTTTCCAAATGTTTTTCAGAAGAGTTACGCCATACTCTTAAATGTTCGTCTGAATGAAAAAGAGAAAATCATGACTTATCTGACCATACAATTTGGTGCTCATTCAATGATTTTATTATAATTACAAGTAGTATTAAAATGTATTGGAGTTTTGGTAAGTGCATTTAGTTCACTAATAATTTTTTTTAAGTGGTACCTTGTGTTACTTTTTTATACATGTAATTCGTTTTAAATTTCGTTTATCAAGTTCAGATAAAATTTCTGTTTGTCCGGGATGTAATGAAACTCTTTCCTTAATCGGTTGATTGTATCACGTACTGTTTGTATTGTTCTTTATGTGATACGCGCCGATTATTTGTTCACGAAGCTCTGACGACAATTCTTTTCGTGGTAAAGACGTTATGAATAGAAAATGAATGTATCACATGTATATACAAATAAAGACAAAGAACAATAGCATAATCGAAATAATTTACATACACGGTGATTTATCGTATAGTTAAAAAAATTTATTCAACGGCACAGAAACGGAATCACGAGAATGTGGTTACCTAGGAAAATGCACTGTATATCGATATAACTTTAGTTGAAATGATATGCGTGTCTTACTCAAAATTGCTTCTTAAATTCTGGAATGTTGTCAAAGTAACGAACTGACACATCAAAAATCTTTAATTTGTGTATTTAATATTAAAATAAAATTTACTCTTAATAAAATACTGGTTCTTCTAAATAATATATACTGTATATTAGCCCTCATAAATGAAATCCTATCTTTTGCTCAGCCTTAAGCATGGGGACTTAATCCCTTTGTAAATACAAATACGAGGGATTCACTGTAACGGTTAAAGAATGTTTATTCAAAAAAATATACAAATAAATAACATCAACAACAATCTCTAAATCTTTCGAATAAATCAATCAAATTTTATCCCAACAGCCGAATCATCTCTTACTCGAAAAAAATCATCACAGTTCACAAAACAACAGCCCGGCCGAACATTCAACGGACCAGAAAACAATGGTTTCAGCAACCGCTTGCTCAGACATCGACACTCGATAAACGTGACAAGTCGAAGATTTGTTAGTTGAGCGAGTGAATTTAACGTTGATGTCCATTGGAAATTGATTCGTATGAATTCTAGTTCTTGTAGTGTATCTGCACTTGATTTTAAACCGTCGATTATTGTTTCAATGTGCCCAACGCATCCTTTTAATTTGAATCGAAATAGTCCTTTGATTCGGAATAATGTCCTATAAATTATTGCGGTGTTTATGTCGTCACAATATGTGTTTGTGTTTGTCAGATCAAGCTCTAAATATTTCTATAAAATTATCATTTAATAAAAAAATTTTTATGTTGTAAAATAGACAAAAAAAATAAAAAGAATAATACCAGATTACAAGATAAATCTGCAAGCGATAGCTGATTACAATGATCAATTCTCTCTTCGCAAATCAGCCGACAATCTTGAACCGACGAGATCCATTCCCGTAATCCAGGCGCCACATAAAAAATCTTCAAAAACTGGTTCGCCATATTGAAATTAAACGGCCCCGACACTCTTTCAAACATCGCATTATGCCGGTAAAACAAGTTAATAATTGCCACGACGACATTCCACGCTCTGTCCGCTCGGCACTTTAAAAAGCACCAACACAACACAATCTCGCAGAGCCCATCAACATCAAGCTCCTTTGCAAAATGCGGATAATCGAAAACATGTATCAATTTATTCGAGGATAATTTATTTGTCGACCAAAGTTGCTTAAATATCATTGAAATATTTTTCGAAAACGAGAAAATCTCGCGACGTTCTCGTTTCGGCATGAATGACAGATAGACGTCAATTATTTTCGTTTGTTTCTTTATCGAATGACGTGCGTTAAATGGTTGGCTCCATAGTAATGGAATTCCTGCACTGCACCATTGACGATTAACTAATATTATTGAGTGGAGATCTCGCGTTGAGAAAATACCATTTTTCGGTATGAAGCTTTGAAAAATTTGCCCGTAAATTTCGGTTGGAAGTTGTTTTGACGGTGCTGTCATGTTCTTGATTGTGTGTATATGTATGCTATTATATTTTGTTCTTGTTTCTTTTTCTTTTATTCAACAAAAGGTTTTTTTATTCTTCCTTACAATAGGCCAAATAAAGAAATACGTAAGACGATACCCTCGCAATAAAAGATAGCGATAAAAAAACAATATTATTATTAACAAAATGTATAATTGATACACACATAATATTAACGTTAAAACAAAACACATGTAACAATAAATAACATCATGCACTCGTAAATGGTGGTGTGTTCTGTACAAAATGATGCAGTTAATAAAATCGGGAAATTTCACACAGCAGAACTGGTTAGGGAACTTGGCCTGAAGTTCCGAATTTTTTGTTTAACCTTAATGTAACTGTATTTAATATTAACATTAATATTATTCTATTATAATTACATGTACTAGGAGAATTGACTTTTCTTCTTAACGCTAATATTGTCTTCCTTCCTTAGAAATTATCACGAAAAATTATTTACTATGCTCTTAAAGTACAAAAATATTTACCTTTATACGTAAATATTTTGTGTATCGAAATTTACGAAAAAGCTTCTTTTACCGTTTGTCTCAATATTGCCTAATGTTGACTATATGAAAAAACTCCACCACAATGCAGGCATCACATGTGTGTAAAATAATGTATACATGCATCTAATTACATGTACTTCTCCGTAAGGAATAACGATTGAAAACTTTGTCATGACAGCTTTTTAACCCTTGCTTTTTTACGATTCATGTCCGACTTGGCGGTGACGTGTTGCGTCTAGTCTCATTATTACTGTGATTTTTTTTAGTAATATGAAGATAATTTTAAAGTTTTGAGCAAATATGCTTCTTTTTTGTTCGTCGTCGCTTGATGAGTTTAAACTTTTATAAATTGAATTTATTCGCAAAAGTGAACCAATATATTATTACCATGGTTGGGCCCTTGGACAATTTTGGACGGCTTGGACGAAAATTTATTAGTAATTTAATTATGTAGATATTTGGATAATATTTTTGGACTGGTCCAGAGGCCAACCTTGATTTTAAATTATTACCTAGATAGATAATCCCATGATTTACCAAGTTTCTCGATCAATTCAATAAATTTACCGAAGAAAGAGACATAGATGATTGTCAAATTAATGATTGTGATTTAGTGGTTCTGGAGGGGCTTGATAACGAGAAAAATAAATAGGTGATGAGTTTATGGAATTTATGTGAGAAATGTTTTCAAATTATTTTACCAAGTAGCTCGAAAAGGCTTCATTATCAATGGAATATTAGATGTACATGCAAGGAAAAGGTAACCTCACGACATAAAATCGAATTCAGCAAAGATGAAAGAAAACTCGTACAGCATAATAATATAACTCTCTGCTACAAGCGGGAGGTTATGGGGGCATTATAGTAGTACCCATACTTCCGAAAGTTGAGCCCAATGTGCCTGGTGTTATGACCAGTGGCAAGCCGAAATCGCTGCCAATAAAAGTCCCATTCCAGTTTGGCCTTTGCTTACGTCGGTAATTCTGTCTTGGCCGTCGAAAACTTTCAATAATTCCTCATAAACTCACTTTTCAAAATCCTGCCCTTTACCTTGTCCTTTTTGTCTTAATACTAAATTTTGAATTTGTTCCTTTTTTTCAGTTAGTTCCTTTTGTAGTTCCTGATTTTGGTTTTGTAAATTTTCTATCGTTTTTCAATGTTTATTCTCAATTTCTTTTTTTTCCTCGTACAGTTTCTTAACCCGCATGGAGTTTTCTATATAGTCGGGGATTGAAGATAAATTATTTTCTGCTCGCTTTTAATGTTTTCTCTTAGTTCTCTGACTTCTGAAAAATCCTCATAAATTTTTTGATTTTTCATTTCTTCCAACAGTGTCCTTCGATATTTAATTCACTGCGGAATAATTTGTTCCTCTAAAGTCTTCCTTATAATTTCACTAATATAATGACAACTAATCGCTATTGTTAAATTATAAAAAACAGAATTTTGTCGCGAGCTCAGTTTTTTCAAAATTATTTCAGATGCTGAATTTAATCTGAATAACATTAGCATAGCCAAACCTTCTTCTTTATTATAGCTATAATTTGGCTAGCATAATTTTTGAAAAATGTTCACTCAATCAAAGTTTATCAATATTTTAAATTTGGAGAGACCATCAAACCGAGGATAATAAAATTTTTGCAGACAGAAATTTTTCAAATATACAGTAATCACTCTCGATATAACTATAGGCGTGGACAATTAGCGAAAAATTCGTTTGTTTTGAATCTCTATTCGTTATATCAAATTTTAATTATTCCCCGCTATATCGAAGTTCATTATAAAAGAAAAAAATAAATACATGTACATGTATTAAACTTTCGTTTTTATTTATAAATGTGGTTATACATGTATCGCAGTAACTCACTGGATTAGAACGTTAACTTATTCAGTATGTAAGTTTAAACAATAGGTCAACGAGAAAAGTTTCCAAAAGTCGCGAGACGGAATATCGATCGAGATTTCTTACACGGTTAGTTTACAAGGAGAATCAATTAATGCGACCAAACCCGAAATCGATAATACAAGCAAGAGGTAATGCTTTTCAATTACTTTGCACTTTTTTAACTTGACCTATCTTGATTAAGGCTCAAGAGCATGCCTATATACATTAATTTTTGGGTACATGCTTTGGTCTAAGTTTGCAATGTGCTAAATAAAAACTATATTCTACTATTATTCCGTTAAATCCTCTAGCTCTTTATGGCAAATCTCGACCAGCTTTTAATGTTGTTAGTCGAAAGTAATTATTTCGACCAACATTTCGACTTTTAACATGCTGAGAGCCCTTTTGCAATTTGGAGAAATATCAAAAGTCAAAAAGTAGTCTAAAGTATGTTGAAATATCTAAAGTATTAGGAATAGCATGAATACATGTACATGTAAATATTAAGAACTGAAATGCAAATTATTCGATTGCCAATAATCAGTATTTGATATCGTAAGTCATACTTTTCCATAATGATTTCGTTCACCAAATGGTGGTTCACCTGTTATGATCTCATACATAACCATTCAAAGCTATAAATATCTGCTGCGTTAGTGTATAGATTTCCATTTACAGTAGCATCTCTGTCTTATACATGTACATGTATAAAGAAGTGCTCTTCGTTAGATTTTCCTAAATTTGTTGGAATGCTAACACTAAGTCCAAAAATCAACAATTTGAGGGTAGTTATATTTCCAGTATGATAGTAATGTTGTGCTGAAAAAAACTTCTGTGTATAAATGCTTGTCATCTAAAATTCAGAACGATTGTAAGGAAACTAATCAGATAATTACAGTCTGTAACAAAAAAACCGGAATTCTTAATTTTTCCATAAATATTTGTTAAATAACATAAAAATTTAAATATATATACTTTAGAACATGATAAATAACTTTACTTAAGACTACTTGAATACTTATCTTATTAAAATTTTTTATAATTTATATTTTTAAAATAAAAAATTTTAAGTAAACTTATCAAGCATATATATTTAAAATTTTATATAATTTAAATAAATATTCATTGAATAGCAAATAAAAAAGATTAAAAAAAGCATTTTAAACTTTTTAAAATAAAAAAATTTTAATAAAAAAATATTAATTATGAAAAATTATTAGATAAGCTATTAAATACTTTTAATAAACTTGTTCACTAGGTTATCAAAAGTAATGCAATGCAAAATTAAAAATTATTGAATTGTAATATCTTTGCACAGACTTAAGAACATCAAATTATAGTTGATAGATTTAATTAAATATATTAAATTCAATACAGACTATTAAATCAATTATATTATAATCATAATGTTTATTCAATTTTTAGTATTATATTATATTTGCTCATTTTTAATATAAAGTTATATAATTTTCAATATAAAATAAAATATCATATTTTTTTATTTTTTAATTATACACAATATATTATTATCTAGTATAATCATTATGTACTTTTATTATATTATAAATTCTTTTTGATATAAAATAAATTAAATCAATATAATAATTCATATCAATTTTCTCTCAAACTAGCTGTATTTTTTTCAGATATTTATGCTAATCAATTTAAAATAGCATTATTATTATTATTATTATTAAATCATTCTTTATCAAATTAACTATATATTTGAATTTATTATCCTGTTAAAAATGATCTTGTTAATAGTAAATTCATATTTTTCAATAATGTTCATAAAATTTTCTTTAAGCTTTATTGATATAATCTATTATTCATCTTCTTATCAATCTTATGAAAGTTATCAATATTACAAAAGATAAAATAATCTCATACAATTACTTTCTTATTATTAAATTTTACTATTAATTTAATATAATAACTTTTTAATAATTTATCTATTCTTTTTTAATAGTATTATTTTCTATCAGATTTAAAAATCTAAAATTTAAATTCATTAAATTAGATTATCTTTGATCAATCTTCATAAATTTAATTTTTGTATTTACATTTTGACAAATTCAAGATAATATTATTGATATTTAGATTTTAAATATAATTTTTTTGTTTTATTCTTATTACTAAATTATTTTTTTAGTATATAATAAATAGTATATTTTTAAAATTCAATATTCTCAGTTTTACAAAGATAATTTCAGATAATAATAATAGTAAAATAGTCACAGAATATAATAAGATAAATTATTATTCTTTCTAACCAATTATTTAATAATTATAAATAATTAAAATTACTTATATTATTTAAAATATACTATTTATATTATTATATAAAATAATAAAAGAATTAATTTTATAAGTTCTTGTTATTTTTTTGTAATATTATGATAATTTTGATTAGATTATCTTCTTTAGTTTTAGATCTTTTACATTATTTATATAATAGATTAACTTTTGTATTACTTTCTTTAAAGATTAATTTCATATTAAATATACAGATAATTATTCATGTATTTAAAATTAATATATTATTACACAGATAATTACTATATATACTTTTATTATTGATTTAAATTATTAATATTTTTAATTATATTTTTAATTATTATTTTCTTTATAATTTTATTTATTCTTTTTTATTATTATTTTT